TGCTTCGCGCGCTGGCCGCGCTCGCGCGGAGCCGCCGTCCAACCTGCGCCTCGAGCAGGCCGCGCTCCAACTGCTCGGCGGCGGCACAGCTCCGAGTGCTGGTGCCCGGCGCGGGCGCAGGACGGCTGGCGTGGGAGGCGGCGCAGCGAGGCTACCGCGTGGAGGCGCGGTCACTCGGCTGGCTGCTCCACTGACGCCCTCTTCACGGCTCCGGGCGTGATCAGGTCGGTCGGTCGCGGTGCTGCTATGCGCCCGTCGCGTGCCCACGGCCCCGTAAGGCCTCTCCGGCTGCGAGCTAGGCCAACGACGCGTCGAGCGCCATGCTCCGTGCCGCGCACGGGCTCATCTCGGGCCGGCTCGGCTCGACCTCGCGCAATCTCGGCTCGAGCTCGCGCAATCTCGGCTCGACCTCGCGCAATCTCGGCTCGACCTCGGGCGGGGTCGGCGTGGCGGAGGTCTTCCCGCGCGTGCGGTGCGCGGGCGGCGCGGTGGATCGCTCCGCCTGCTTGCGGCCGGTCGCGGTCGGCTTGCCCCCGCCGCACCGCGCCGCGCCCGCGCCGCTGCCGCTGACGCTGACGCTGGGCGCGTGGGACGGCGGGCGCGGGAGGAGGAGTGGTCGTCGGGACGGGGCTGTGGAGTGGCGCTGTGAACGGCGCCGGGTGTGGGCAGGTACGAGGAGGGGTCCTTCGACGCCGTCGTCTCGAGCTACGTCTTCGACGCGCTCCGCGTCAGAGCACAGCCGGGCGCGGGGTGGGGGGGCTGCAGCACCCGTGTGTGGCTCACGCCCTAGGTCCTGCCCGACCCCGCGCGGACGGTCCGCCGAGTGCGCGCGCTGCTGGCGCCGGGCGGAGAGTGGGTCAACGTGCGCCGCGCGCAATCATGTCACGCTTGCAACTCTGTCGCGCTCCCGTCGCAATCTGTCTCGCTCCTCGCCCCCCTCCCACGCAACCCCCTCGCACTGCTGTGACCGCAAAGGTGGGGCCGCTGCACTGGCACGACCCGGCCGCGGGGCTGCTGCGGCTGACGCTGCGCGAAGTGCGGGCCCTGCTCGAGCACCACGGCGCCCCTCTCCGCCCGCCGCCTCCGAGGTGTGGCGCGACGCTGTTCGACCACCCGAGCGCCATTACCCGGCGCGTGTAGGCTTCGAGCTGCGGCGCCTGCGCGCCATCCGACGGGTGCCATACGTCGGCTGGCGGCCGCGCCGCGGGCTGCTCCGCCGGTGGCGCGACGCGGCGGCGGCGGGCTGGGGAGGAGGCGGTTGGTCAGCGGGAGGGTGGCTCGGCGCGGCGAGCGGCGCCGGCGAGGGCGGAGAGGAGGACAACTGGCACGACTGCGTGTTCTGGGTGGCGAGGGCGCCGCCTGACCCCTGGGGAGGGTGAGTCGAGGTTTTCTTTTTTCGCTCGTCACCCGGGAGCCGGGTCCAGTCCCTGGCGAGACTCCGCTGTAGCCGCACCGCTCCTCGCTGCTCGGTGGTGAACAGAGTGCCGAAGCATGTCCTCCGCGCTCGCCGAGCCATCGGGCTCAAAGCCGCCGCTCCTCGCCGCCGCCGACCCATTCGGCGAGGCGTTGAAAGACTCGCTGGTTGCACACCTTCGGCAGAAGGGCTACACAGTCGACGACAGCGGGACTAGCGCCTACTATGACGCGGCGGCGGCCGTTGCCAAGCGTGTGCAGGCGGACGGCAGTGTGCGCGGCTTGCTCTTCTGTGGTACGGGCATGGGCGTCGGCATGATCGCCAACAAGTTCTCGGGTGTCCGTGCCGCCACCTGCGAAAACGTGCCGGCCGCCCGCTGCAGCCGCGCGATCAACGACGCGAACGTGCTCTGCCTCGGTGGCAAGGTGACGTCGCCCGCCGACGCCAACGACATCGCTGACGCGTGGCTGGCGCAGGAGCACGCCAAGGTGCGATATCACCGCTAGACTTGTGCGCCTAGACATTGTGCGCCGCTCCCCTCACTCGCCACTACTCTCACCGCTGCACCTCTGCCGCCAAAGGCGCCGGGCGACTATGAGTGGTGGTCGGCTGACGTCGAGGCCTTCCTCGGCAGCAAGTGGCCTGCGATACGCAAGGTGGAGGAGGACTCGCGCGAGCACTGAACGCGGTGAAAGACGATATCGCCATACAACCGATTTATACACGATCCTTACACCCCATGCGCGCACATCCAGAGATCCACCCACAGGCACAGGACAGCCATAACAGGGTAGGCTCCGCCCCACTGCGTCTCGGACGGAGATCGGCGAATTTATTTTCGAAAGCATGGCAGCTCGCTAGCTCCGAGTTTGCGCAAACTGCGAGGCCATGGAGCTCGACAGCCCGAGCTCCGGAGACCAAGCAGCCAACAGGGAGCCGACCTCCGATGGGGATGATCCGGATACTCAAGGCGACGGACCCGTACGGGCGATGGCTGAGCTGCGCTGTGAGCCCGATGGCTTCGTCTGGGCGTCAGGCGTGCGCTCCCGCCGTTCGCCTCTAGTACGTCTTAGTATCGACCCGTACCCAACCGCACTCGATTCGTATCGCAAGATCCTCCACCTTCAGGCCGAGCGCCGCCCGGCGCCGAGCAGCTTGCAGACAAGGCTGCTGGCCTCTCCCTGGACGCTTATGGGACTGCTCGCCTGGCGGCTCTGGCTCTGACCCGCCGAGAGCTCTTTATGCGGGCCGAGATCGTCATCTTCGGCAATCGCGGTCAGGGTGGCCCCTCTGGGCTTCCGCAGATAGCCGCAGAGGTCACCTACGAGATGATGCTGTGCGCTGAGGATGCCATCGAGGCGGTGTTTGCCGTCGAGCGGAACATCACCTTCCTGCAGTCGCAGAAGATATCGAGAAAAAAGGCGATGGCGATGCTCCTGTGCGACATGATTGGCGCGCCGCTGCTGCTGCGTGACGAGGCGGAGAGCGCCGGCGCGCGAGTCGTCACTAGGCTGCGAGCGCTGAGGGCGGCTGATGCGGCCGGCCTACAGGCAGAGGCGCGGGCGGCTCGCAAGGCCGACGAGGATCGCCAGGTGGCGGCGGTCATGGAGCGCGTCATCGACCTGGTGGAGCGGCGCGGCGCCGTGTACCCAGGCTTCCTCCCGGCGGCGAGCACCCCAGCGCTAGTTCTGCCCGCTGCGCCGACCCGCTCCCCCCCTAGCGTGATCGGGAATCACGAGGTGAAGGGGTTCGTGGATCGGGTCGTGGCGAGCGGCGGGAGCAGCAGCCGCCCGCCCCGCGACCCTCTCGCGACCGAGTTCCTCATAAGCCGCGTCCGCGAGCTCGAGAAGCAGGTGGAGGACCTCGAAAACAAGATGTGGGAGCTGAAAAACCGATCCGAGTCCGTCGAAACAACGGCCTTCACGCATACCAGGCTGTGGTTCGATCGGACCCGCTCGGCCGAGGCGGCTCATTCGCTCGCCGAAAGCAACTTCAGGCTCGCCGCGCTTTGCGCGGAGCGGCTGTACCAGGGCTGGTGGATGATGGTCGAGACGGCGTACGGCGCCGGGTGGCGCCCGCCCACCGAGCCGGACGAGGAGAAGGACGTGTGCGACCACCAGCGGTTCGCCTTCTTCGACCGCGGCCACGACTGCTGCAGCGGCGAGAGGCCCAAGTTCGACTGGGACCCAACCGAGCTACGCGATCGGATGGAAAAGGCGCTCGAAGAGCCGTGCACATGCCTCAACCTTCGCGTTGTCGGCGAGTGAGAGGCGTCTTCCGCCTCCGTGCCGGCCCGTCCCGCGGAGCGATTTTGGGCTCTGTCTGAGGGTACGAGACCGGGGTGGTGTCTAAATATTAAATGTTTCGTAGTCACCCGAAGCCCCTACACCCCCATGGCCCTGGTGGCGCCGCTGGGAGCGCTAATATGGGCGCCACGGGGGTCCTGCCGTCGCCCAGTCCGAATCACAGTGGGGCGGAGCCTACCCTGAAATAAAATAAAAACGGACACCTCTCTACTGTGAGATGGGTAAAAAGGAACAGGCCCCCGCCCTTGCGATCTTTGTGCAGGGTTCTTTGTGGGTGTGGTCGGCGACTAGCCGGGGTCGTCCTCCCGGTGGGGGACTAGCACTAGCCGTCTTCCACATGGTCCCTCGGGTCCCTGCTGCTCCTAATCTCTTCGTACATCCCCCCTCCTGCTGTGTGCTGATCTCCGCAAAGTCCTGCTCCCTCCCTCGTCTCGCCCTGCGCGTCTGCTCCGCCTCACCGTCTTCTGCCCTGCGTCGTCTGGCGACGGGTCCTCCATAGTCGGTCGAGGTCGCCGCCCTCCTCGTGCCTCTTCCCAACGTTCCCTCGGCGGCCGATGCCGTCTGAGCTCCGGCTCCCCAGTCAGGACAGCCATATTTTACGAAACAGCCTTAATTTACGGCGCCTCTACGCACTCTACGTATAGATAGGGCAAGGGGTAAGGGGCCCGACTTACGATCGGACGGCTCTCTAAAATCGATAAACGAATGATAAATGTCTCCGCGTGTGTGGTGCGGGAGACAGCGGGACACCGCTTCACACGAGAACCTGCCCGGCGAGCGTGTCGAGGCAATCGCACCCGCCGCACACGAACTCGCCCATGTGGCGCAGCATCACACGCTCGGTCGCCGCCTTGACATCCGCCCAGCAGACGGCGGGGCTGGTGCGGGGGCCGCTAGCGTGGAGCAGCGAGAGGGAGTCCCGCCCGCCTCCGCCGTCGTCGCCGCTGCCCTCGCGCGTCGGCGCGATCCAGCTGCGGCCCGAGCCGCTGACAGAGGCGTTCACCTGAGACGCAATCGGGTCCCGCTCGGTGCGACACGCCTGAGCAGGCTCTGTCTCTGTCTCTGTCTCTGTCTCTGTCTCTGTCGTCTTCTCTGTCTCTCTCTCTCTCGACAAGACTTGGCGCTGGGCTCGACTACAGCACCCACCTAGGCTGGCTCTCAGGGGTCTCGGCTGGGTCTCGGCAGGGTCTCGGCAGGGTCTCGGCGGGGTCTCGGCGGGGTCTTGGCTGGGTCTCGGCTGGGCGGTCGCCTCGGAGAGCAGCTCCGCGTTGAGCGTCTCCGCCTCGGCAGAGTACCACGCGACCAGCCGGAAGCAGACGAGCCGGCCCCGCACCCACAGCACCTCGAAGCGAGGGTCGGCACGCACCTGCGCACAGCGGAGAGCGGCTTTGAAGAGCCCCTCCCCCCGCAGCGCACAGCACGACGCGGCAAGCTCCCACCCGCCGCGCGAACGTCGCCGCGGCCTCCTCCGCCGGCGACGCCGCCTCCGGCTCGCTCGGCGGCGGCACCACCTCCCCCTCCGGCGGCACCACCTCCCCCTCCGTCGCCGGCTCGGACCGCTCGCTGTCGCACGCAAAGCACGCCTGCGCGCCGTGTCTCGGACGCGTCTCGGACGCGCCTCGCATGCACCTCGTGGACGCGGCTTCGCCGTCGCGCGCAGAGCTCGCCTCCGCGTCGGCGTCGTCACTCATGCCTTCGCGGTACTTTCGCACGCCGTCCTCGCAGCCGCCCTCCGCCCCGGCGGCGGAGAGCTGCGCCTCGTGCTGCGCCTCGTGCTGCACCTCGCACCTCCGCAGCTCCTCGAGGAGGCGCACCTGCTCACACCGAGGAGATATGGGGAGATATGGGGAGATATGGGGAGATAGGAGGAGGCCCGCCTACACCGAAGCACCACACTGCTCCGCCGTGAGCGGCGCCTGCCGCAGACCTCCAACTCTCGACAGGAGCCTCGTCTAGCCTCCGCCCGCCAATCAGCACCAGCTCGCTGCTCCGCGCCTCGCTGCTCCGCTCCGCCTCGCCGCCGCCGCCGCTGCCGCTGCCGGGCCGGTGGCGCGTCGCGGTGACCTCGAGGCGCGGACCGCACATCTGCAGCGTGAGCCTGCCGCAATCGTGTCACGCTGAACAGGTGGCGCCACGCCTCTCCTTTGCCGCCAGATCTCGGCCAGATCCCCTTCTCCGCTATCTGGCGCGCCAGTAGCTGCCGCACTCTGCAAAGCGGAGGAAGCCCTTCGCCCGCAGCACAGGCGCCCACGCGGCGCTCGTGCGCAGCGCCTCGAACGCCTATGCTCAAGCGCCGAGCCGTGAAGAGACGCCGCCCGCCCGCTGCCCGACGTCCAGTCCAGGTCTTGGCCGGCAGCGAGAGCGGGGCGGACGAGGAGAAAGCGAGGCTGCGGAGGGCGTCGCGCTGGAGGTGCAGCAGCGCAGCGCCGCCAGGCCTTGCGCCGCGCCACGCGCCTACCCCCTCGGGACCGCCTCGCGTCACCTCGACACGAAACCTCACTGGCCCCTCGTCCACACACTCTCGCGCACTCGCGGCCGCGCCGCCGCCGCCGCCGCCGCCGCCGCCGCCGCCGCCGCCCAGGTCGGCGTCGAGGCTGCCCTCGAGCAGACTTCCGCCCGCAAGAGCGACGAGCAGCTCCGGCGGCACCTAGCGCAGGCGCCAGCCGAGGTGCGGGCGAGGTGCGGGCAAGGTGCGGGCGAGGTGCGGACGAGGGGTACTGGCCAGGGGAGTGGGCGAGGGGAGTGGGCGAGGGGAGCGGGCGAGGGGAGCGGGCGAGGGGAGTGTGTCGGGTGTGCGGCGCTCCTTCCCGTGGGTCGCTCGGAAGATGCGAGGCCCCGCCCCCGCGTAGAGCGCCGCGAGGCCGGCCTCCGCGCCGCGGATCTGCGCCTCGCTCACCAGGTCCGCCTTGTTGAGCACCACGACGTCCGCCAGCCGCAGCTGCGCAGCCACCGCCGCCGGAAGCAGCAGAGGGCCGCCGCTGCCGCCGCCCGCGTCGGCGCCGCTGCTGCGGCCGCTGGTGCGTTGGCCCGTGGCGACGGGGCCCCACGTGGTCGCTGTCCACAGCGTCCGCCGTCCGCCTACATCTCTGCGAATCGCGGCTGACCCGCGGACCTTTCGGTCCGGCCGGCTCCCGCCGGCTGCTCCCGCCGCCTCGGCCGGGCGAGGCGGTCGTATCGGGCGTCGATCGCCCCTCGCCCCACGCGGACTCTTCGAGGGGCACCTCCACCGACGCTGCGCCGGGCGCGCAACCGACGCCGCCTCCGCCCGAAGAGGAGGAGAAGGCAGAGGCGGAGGCGGAGGCCGAGGCGGCGACTCGCCCCGCGTCGGCGACCGTGACGACCGCGTCGAGGCGGACGGAGGCTGCTAGCTCTGGCTGGCGCAGCGTCTCGAGGATAGGCTCGGGGTCGGCCACGCCCGACGTCTCGAGCACAAGCGCGTCGAGCGACCGCCCGCGGTCGGCAAGGAGTTGGGAGAGCGCGTCGAGGAGCGAGCCGTTGATCGTGCAGCAGACGCAGCCGTTTGCGAGCTGGACGGTGCCGCTCGCGACGCTGGAGGAGGTGTCAACGAGCGACGAGTCGATATCGATCGACCCAAACTCGTTGACCAGCACACCCACGCGCAGGCTGCCCGCCGCAGCGCTCTTGAGCAGCTCGTTGAGCAGTGTGGTCTTGCCGCTCCCTGCGGCGGCGGTCGAGGCGCGGTGAGGAGGCGCGGCGGCGCGGCCGGGGTGGGATGGTGGAAGTGAGCCGCGCGCCGAGGAATCCGGTGAGCAGCGTGAGCGGGATGGGCGGCGGCTCGTTGTCGGACATGGGCGAAGAATTCTTAACCGTGGTACTCGAGTAGGTGGACCAGACCGTTTTGAGTAACCGGACAAGCCGCCGGTGGCATATCTTTCCACCCAAGAAGCCCGTTTGGAGGGATGGGCGGCAGAGTGTGCGGGCGGTGAAGTGCTAGTCCTCTCATCAATTTAGAACGAAACGCCCCTCCCTCCCTTCTTCCCTCTATCCCTTTTGCTCTCTAACCTAGACACAGACAGACTGTTCACCAACCAATCCTCTACCCCTCCCTCTCTCCCCATCCCAGACTCCCTCCACGCGTCCGATCTGGCCAGCCTGGCAAACAGGCTCCTGCGGCAAACATACTCGCGCGGGAGCATTTCACTCTAGCTGAGGGGCTCGCTAAACGCTCGCCGAGCTCCATGCTGTGCAACACCACCTCCTCACTAATCGTCAGGGGCGCGGAGAGCGCAGTGCACTGCGGTGAGGCTGCGCAGCGGGGGCTCGCCCCCTGCACCGCGCTCAGCGGCGCAGGGGAGGGCGGTCGGTGGCGGCGGCGGCGAGGCGCGAGGCGGTGGCGGCGGTGGTGCGGGCGGCGGGATGACAGGGGAGGCGGCGGGATTGACAGGGGAGGCGGCGGCCACGAGCGGAGCGGCGCGAGAAGGGGGGGGGGCGGCGGCGAGGCGCCGGTGAGCGAGGCGCCCGCGCCATATCAGAGGGACGCGCCGCTGCGAGATGGAGGGCGGCGGTGACGGAGGCGAGGCGCGAGGCGGCGGCGGCGGCGGCGGCGGCGGCGGCGGCGGCGGCGGCGGCGGCGAGAACGGCGGCACCGAGTCTTGGTGAGCGGCGGCGGGAGGAGGAGCAGCGGCGGCGCTCGCTCGCTGTTGACGGGATTGCTTTTGAGCCTGGGAGCCCATGCCACTGCGACCGGCGTGCCCGGGAACGGAGATCGCGCGCGCGCCGCCACTCACGACGCGCGCGCGATCTTCGCGGAGTCGGGTCCCCAGAGGGAAGCGGTCTTCTCGGCCGACGTCCAGCGGCGCGCAAGGAAGCAGGCGCAGCGGAGGCGGCCTAGCACCGGCTCGGCGCCGGGCGGTTGCGCTGCCCGCGAGCCGCGTCCTGAGCCTCGGCAGCGCGCTGCGCGGCGCGGCGCTCGCGCTGCTTCTGTGCCGAGAGCGGCATGATTCGCCAGCTGAAGCTCCAGACTCCTCGGGTACAGTGGGTTGCGGGCATTAAGAAAACGTGCCATCAAGAAACCCTACCAAGCGATTTCCGCAAAAATCTAAGAAACCACGGCGCGCCGCAGGCGCGGCCCCGAGAAAAGGCCAGACACGAGTGTCAACGGGAGGCCCAGCTCAAAATTTCTCTTCGCCTGCGGCGCGCGCACTTGTCACTTTCCAAGTCTGCGGTGTTCTGAGTGGATGGAGTGAATGGAGGCGTGTGTGCGTCTTCCCGTCATCCAGACAGAGAGCCGACTCGGCGGCAGACTCTGGCATCGCCCTCGCGGACCGCAGCTTACCTCTTACCTAAAAATCCTTCGGGCCGGCGCTCTGGCTTGAGTGCTCTGGCCGGAGCTAAGAAACCACGGCGTGGGGTGGATGAGGGCTGTGGAAAGGCTTGGGCGCCGTGACGACCGACGAGAGTCGAGAGAGAGACTACATCGCCGAACGCCGCAATGCGCCGTAGCCGACCAATACCGTGCGTGTGCACCAGCCGCACGCGGGTCCTTTATGCAGGGAAGAAGCTGCTCTCCCTGTGCCGATGCCAGATCTCGTACGGCAGCCGGCGAGGTGACTCTCCTCTCGAGGATCACCTCCGCCGGATGCTGTCTCCCTTTGCAGGGTTTTGCCAGGATTAGAAGTCCTGGTGGTGTTTCTTTTTTGCCGCCGTTCTCATCCGGTCACACATACTCGTATGCGGGCCGTCGGCTGGAGAACCAGACCAAGCACTGCAGGAGCCGCTATGGGGGAGGGGAGGCGACGCATGTTGCGGTGGCTGCCACCAAACGCCAGCGGCCTCGGCGGCCGACGGCTGCTGCCTTCGAGCGGCGGCCGCGTCCGACGCCTGTGCAGCAGCTCCGCAGGCAGCAGCAGCGCCGAACTGCCCAGCTGCGCTCCTCCGACGCCCTCGCGGCTGCAGCTCTTTCGGCACGCGCGACACGCAGCGATCCCAATGGCCTGCGCGTTAGAATGCACGATCGAGCTAGCATACTACAAGAAGCGCGCAAGGCCCAGTCAGACGAAGCGCCAAGCAGACGCAAAATTGTGCCTCAGAGATGACGTTCTCTCTCTGGCACAGGTGGGGTTCGGCTTCATGGACAACATCATCATGATCCAGGCTGGAGATTGCCTCTCACGGCCGCTTCTGATTCGACAGCCAATCAATCACTGCTTCTCATGTCCAGGCGGGCGACCTGATCGACACGACTCTCGGCGTCACGCTCGGCTTCTCCACACTGACCGCCGCCGCCCTCGGGAACGTGCGCTTGAAGCGGGCACGGCACACGTCCATTCCATTTACCGCGACACGTCCTGGCGTCTCCCGCAGGTGTGCTCCGACACGAGCGGCACTCTCTTTGGGGGAGTCGTCGAGACGCTGGCTGCTCGGCTGCAGCTGACGCCGGCGAACCTGTCGCCGGAGCAGCTGAAGATGAGGATATCGCGGCAGTGGGCGCTGGGCGGCGCGACGGTCGGCGTCATCTGCGGCTGCCTTCTCGGCATGTCAACGCTCTGCTTCATGGATCTGGAGAAGTCGGACCGCCTCAAGAGGGCGGCGGAGCTCGACACGATCTTCACGCACGTGGTGGAGCACGGGTACAAGCTGCTCGGCGCAGAGAGGTGCACGCTCTTTCTACACGACGCGGGCAAGGCCGAGCTGTGGACGAAGATGAGCACCGGCAGCAAGCGCGGGCAGGACGGGCGACAGCGACTCGCAGCGTGTTGACGTCTTCCTTGCCTTAGCTTGCCCCACCCGGCCGCAGGACCGGCTGCTCATCACGCTGCCCTTGGAGAAGGACTCCATCGCCACGGCCGCCTGCAAATCCCGCGAAATCGTCAACGTGGCACAGGCGCTGTGACCATGCCAAACCGCTGACATTTGCCCCCCCCCCCCCCCCCCTCTCCCCCTTCACGCCCACACTTGCCTTGTCTAAGTCGCTGTCGTGGCGTAGGCTGCGGACGACCCTCGCTTCGACGGCTCGTGGGACGCCAAGAGCGGCTTCGTGACAAAGCAGGCGCTCGCGATGCCCGCGCCTCGGAGCCGATCGGTAGCTGAGAGGTAGCCGCGACACGGGCGAGATGTGAGCGTGGCGAGGCGAGGTAGGTGCTCGCGATGCCGATCCTCACTGAGGAGGGCGAGCTGATTGGCTGCGTCGAGGCGGTCAACAAGGTCGCCGAGAGACAGCCCGAGACAGAGATGCAGCTCGAGAAAGAGACGTAGCCTGCCCCAGCCCCCCCCTGATGCGTTCGCCACACCTTAACGCTCTGTTGGCTGCGACACGACAGGTCGCCGGCGGCGCCTTCACCGACGACGACGAGCGGCTGATGCGGATGCTATGCGATCATATCGCCGTCTTTGTCGACCACGTGCACGGTCTTTCCGAGTGACGTGCGTACTGTGGGCTACGCAGCGTTTTGCGTGCAGGGGTGGTAGGTGCTAGATATGACACGCACGCAATGAAGCGGGCCATTCCAATCCCGGTCCAGTGATATGTCTTGCTCTTGGGTCTTCGCTTCGCGAGGGCCCGTATACAGTAGAGCTCATTGATGAAGGCTAGCGTTTTGGCACGTGGATCCCGGCTCTCACGACACAATTTAATTACGGTATGCGCTTGATCCAACCGGACATTGTTGCCCAGTCCGGCGCGAGCGGCGTGTGAGTCGGGGTTTCTTTGAAACGCATAGCGGGTGGGTAGGCCCTAAAACGGCGGGAGGGGTAGGGCTATATCGACAGAGCTAGAGGGCTCAACCACCCCTCCACCCCTCCACATTCCACCCCTCCACCCTCCCGGAGCGGGGCCGGAGCGAGAGAGGTCCGTCTTCGAGCCCTCCCACTTCCACCGATCCACCCCTCCGACCGGAGAGCGAGAGGGCTGCTCGCCAGCCCATAGGGCTGGAGGGGTCCCCGCCGGATCGGCGTCGGGAGGGCTTCACAGGGCTAACCCCCTCCTCGGACGCCGGGTGGGCTCGGAGGGACGGTCGGACAAGGGAGGATCTTCGTGGCGGGAGGGCTCGAGAGGGGTCGGAAGGGCCCTCCGGGAGGGGTCGCAAAAAGATAAAGAAAACGAAGTCGCGGCTTATGTGACTGCCCCCCAAGAGGGCTCGGAGGGCTCGGAGGGCTCAGAGGGCTCGGAGGGCTCGGAGGGTTGGAGGGCTGCAGGGCTCCCTTAGGGCTCGGAGGGCTCGATCCTCTGAGCCCTCCGAGCCCCCCGAGCCCGGCTCAGCGGCTCGCCCCTCCGAGCCCTCCGGGCACTCCATCCCTTGTGAGCCCTCCCGAGCCCTCCCGAGCCCACCAGCGCCACCCTCGTGCCTCTCTGCCCTCCGAGCCCTCCGACCCCTCCGAGCTCTCCACCTCTCCCAAGCCCTCACGAGCCCTACTACGCCTCGCTTTTGGCCAGCTCTCCCAGCCCCCACCCCTCCGAGTGCCCTCCTGGGCCCTGCCGCCTGACACCTCTATCGGTGGAGGGCTTTAGGTCACGGTACACACTCCCGCCCTCCCGACCCCTCCACACCCCTACAGCAGCGGCACCCCTACCCCTCCCGCCGTTTTAGGGCCTACCCACCCGCACTCTTGAAACGTTGTAAAATTCTTTGAAACGAGCCGAAAGGTGATGGGTTCAGGGTTGGGGGCCAGAGACTGAAGCGTGAAGGTCTGAAGCTCACCCAGTGAGGAAGATGGAAGTGAGGAACTGCTCGGCCCGGCCCTGATCATGCTGAGCAAGTTCCTCTTGTAGCTCGATCGGTCACACCGCCATTGCCGCCGACGTCTCCCAGAGTGAGACGATGGAGAGGGGGGACGACACTGCTTCAGCAGCGCGTGCACCTCGATCCGGTACCGTGTTTGTTATGACCCCCCCCTTGAACACACCAGCGAGGGAGGGCGAGACGATCGAGGGGCTTCAGCAGCGCGTGCACCTCGATCCGGTACCGTGTTTGTTATGACCCCCCCCTTGAACACACCAGCGAGGGAGGGCGAGACGATCGAGGGGTCCCGTACCATGCGGTATCGACCCTATTCCTTTGCAGCCCACTTCTTCTCTTCCACCTGGTGGTGCGATGGGGGCTCCCTCCCGCGGGGTCAGCGCGCTGTCAGCCCTCTGTAGCATCAGGTGCAAAGGAAAGTGGCTACATCGCAGCCATCTTGGGTAAGATGGCTGGGGGACAGCCATTTCAGCCATCTACTATGGATGGGGCACAGTCAGTGCAGCCATCCTCCGGAGCATGGCTGGTGATAATTCGATGGCAGCCGTCCGCCTCCCCCGCCACACGCACAAATGGCTGCGCGCTTGTCGCCCCCGGCCTCGCGGGACGGATGCCATCGGCTGCCATCGAATTACCGCCAGCCATGGCTCTGGAGGAAGGCTGCAATCTCTCTGACGCAGCCATAGTAGATGGCTGAAATGGCTGAAATGGCTGTCCCCCAGCCATCTTTCCCAAGATGGCTGCGATGTAGCCAGGTCAGCCAAGAGGGCTCACCTCGCTCGAGGCGGGCGGTGTGTGGCTGCGGTAGTGCATCTCCAGACATGTCTACTAAGGATGGCTGCTGTGTGTGTGTTGCAGCCATCGGGCTGAAGGATGTGGCTGCACTGCAGCTAGCTCAGCCATCCTTAGGTAAGATGGCTGTGAAGGAGCCAGCACAGCCATTCTGGTGGTACATTCCGAGGTTAGCCTATAGGTGCTAGGTCTCTCGGAAGCACGCCTTAGCTTTGGCGCATATGCCAGCGCCCGCGGTGAGTCGGACGTTGTTTCGAGCCATGTGCCGAAGCGCGGCTCGGCGTGCGTCCCAGCTGCGCGAGATGCGGGCACGTGGCTTCTCGAGGCTGCCATTCAGCACGAGCAGCGCGGTGACTGGAGGCACCTTGTGCAGGTCAAGCGCACGAGATCATGCCTAGAGCTAGCGTCGGGAAGATTGCGTTGTCCTGCTGCTCAGAAGCCGTTCCCTCCCACTTTTGATTTACTCGAGGGAAGCGCACACATGCCTCACTTCTGATGAGAGGTGTCAACGCATTCCCATGCCGGCCCTGTCCCATGCTCCAAAGAACCCCGACCACTGGGCTGATCTCGTCAGCACGTGCACCTGGACGCGCCACATCCTGGCGCTCCACGCCGGCGACGCGCGGCGGGCATGTCGAGCGCGCTTCGACGAGACGGCCGCGGAGTTGCCGCCATGCAAGCCACCGGGGAGGCGGACGCTGGCTTTCTGGACTGGGCCGGTGGCTTGGACAAAAAGACGAGCGAGCTACTGCTGGAGCTGCGCCAGGCAGGCGTGGACAGCCGCGTCGACTCCGCGCTCCGAGGGCTGCGTCTTCTCGAGGACCTGAACAACATCATCACGTGTGTGCTGCAGGAACCGCGCGAGGAGGCTCGAGGGTATGCCTGCGCCCTCACGCGCTAGCCCACGCCCTGCCCCGCAAGATCTCACTCCATCCCGGCCTGCGGCATACCTCGGCACCCCCTTGCACGGAATCTGAGCGTGAGGGAATCTGAGCGTGAGGGAATCTGAGTGTGAGGGAACCTGGGCAGTCAGTGCCGCGTAGTGCGGCGTGCGCGCGGGCGTGCGCGCGGGCGTGCGCGGGCGTGCGCGGGCGTGCGCGGGCGTGCGCGCACGTGCGCGGGCGTGCGCGGGCGGGCGCGTAGTGCTGCGTAGTGCCGCGTAGTGCCGCGTGCGCGCACGTGCGCGGGCGTGCGCGCGCGTGCGCGGCGTGCGCGGGCGTGCGCACGCGTGCGCGGCATGCGCGGGCAGGGCGCAGGCAAGTGCCTGAGGGTATGGGGGTGGGCGCCACCCTGGGGCTACCCATAGCATCGTCGGTTACTGATGGGTATCCGCCGATTTCGCATGGCCTGGAGGAACGAGGACAGCCCGCCGAGGTCTCGACTCTCGAGGCCGCGGAGGAGGCGTGAGAGCCGGTTTTTGCTTCACCCTCGACGCGAAATACCTCTCGCGCCGCATGTCCGTGGTGATCCCCTCCTCCGCGTCGGAGGCGGACGCCGCCCTCGCTAGCGGCTCCTGCGTCGCCAACTTTTGCGCGACCTGGTGCGAACCGTGCACGCACATGAACGCAGTCTTCGCCGAACTGGCGTCAGAGGGCTCCAACGCGGCGCTACGCTTTGTGCAGATCGACTGCGACGCCTTCCCGGAGCTGTGCGAGCGCCACGGGCTCGAGTCGGTGCCTGCCTTCCTCTTCTTGCACGGCGGTGCCGTCACCGACACGCTCACCGGCGCATCGGCACCTGATTTAGCGCTTAAGGTGCGGCAGAACGCTCTCACCGCGTCGATCCACACCGACGCGGTGGGCGCGCCGCCCGCTGCGGTGCCGATCGAGGAGCGGTGCCGCCAGCTGACCAGCCGTGCGCCCGTGGTGCTGTTTATGAAGGGCTCGCCCGCCGCGCCGCGCTGCGGCTTCTCGCGCAAGATCTGCGAGCTGCTCACCGAGCAGAAGGCGCCGTGTGAGCGTCGCCCTCGAGACGAGGAGGCGCGATCGGTTCACACCTGGTGCTGTGAGCAGGTCTCCTTCGACAGCTTCGACATCTTGGCCGACGAGGAGGTGAGGCAGGGCCTCAAGCAGTTCTCCAACTGGCAGACCCCCTGCTAGCCGCAGGCCAAGGCACGCGCCGGCCCGTCGCTTCACACGGGTTGGGTGCGTGAACAGGCCGACCTACCCGCAGCTCTACGCCGACGGCAAGCTGCTCGGCGGGCTCGACATCGTGCGCGAGCTCGCCGAGGAGGACGAGCTGCTCGACTCGATCCCGGCGGCGGCAAAGGCCGCGTGAGCTCTCCGCCTTACGCTAGGCCTTACGCCCATGGAATGAACTCGTGCGTGAGGGTCCCTGTCTGCCGCCTCTCCTCTCCCCCCTCTCCTACTTCTCTCCTCTCCCGCGCCTCTCTTAGCTAGTTTGCCCCCTGCGCGCGCCGCCCAAACGCGCCAAGGGCAAGGCGGTGCGCACTGACCGTCGGACTTCTCTGGCGATTTGAGGGGAGACATTTGTTTCATTTCTGTTTTCCTTTTCTCATTTGTGATTTGCGTCTGTGTGAGTACTTTGTTCTCTGTGTCACGGCGGTTGACGGCCTACATCGTACGGCTTTTCGCGCGCTTTACACAACGTATTACAATTTACATTGGTCATTGCATGTTCCACATGTACTCGTCGTACTGTGGCACGAATAGACAAAAGTCAAATCTCAAACGTGTGCAAATCACTACCGCCGAAGCGCCGCACACTCTGCGCCTGGCTATAGGGCGCGGCACAACTCTCACGTGACTCGTGAGCGCTCTCGCCACACGCGTCTGCCGTCTCCGGCGTGCAACACGCGCGCGCGCAACAACGTCCTGCCCACACACATACCGCAGCAGCGTATGACATCAATATGGACTCACCGGAGACCGACCATGCAGCCCGTTCATGCGCCGTGACAGAGGCGGGACGGAGAGAAGGGAGGGATAGGGAGGGCATGCTTGCCACCCAGACTCCGCCACGGCGAGGGGGGGGGGGGGGGGCGAAAGGGGCGGGGGGAAAAAAGGGGGCCAAGGGGCCCCCGCGCCGCCCTTTTTACAAGCCAAAGTCCCCGCCAATGACAACGTCCCCCCCAAGAACTGCGCTC